GAAAATTCGAGTAACAAAACATTCACTAGTATCGGAGCCTTGTACGTGGAGGCTGTTCTGCTTTCGTATATGTGAGACTGATTCACCAAGAAAGGCAGAACCTCACTGCAGGTACAGTCTTGTTCGCTGGGGCGCTTGGAACGGCTTGACTCGGCGTGGCGCCAGCCTGTCTCCCCCACCAATCGTGGAAGCATAGGCGACCTTAGTGGTTGAGAAGAGGCAGGCCCCGCGTCAAACCTAACACTCCCACCGTCCCCTAGCGTCTGCTGACAAGACTCTATGCATTCAGGACTTTCTTCAACAGAAAAACTCGATTTATATCACAAGTATGCTAAGTCGTGGAAAAAAATCTTGGTTCCAGGCGAGACTCGAACTCGTATCTCATCTCACGGTGTGAGTGTGCTATCCATCACAGCGCTACGACTGCTCTTACCCTCTCAGATTGGCGACATTAATACCGTAGTCTCAGAGAACTCACACATTCAACGTGGTGAGCAGGTCAGCTGTATTGTTAGATATTGTTAGATATCGGCAGTGAGCCCTGGTGGCGTAGCGGATACCGCACTCGCCCGGTAAGAGTGAGGTGCTTGATCGACTTCCGCCTTAAATCGAGACTTTTGCCCATAACTCAGCATCCTTGTGATGACTTCCGGAGCACGAACTGCGGTGTTGAACAGCAGATATCACAACTAATCTATCATTTTCAGCCCATTTCCTTGTTCACACAAAAATAAATAGAAAGGTATCAGAAAGTAATACTTCACTTACGTTGGAAGACTTTCTCTCAGCATATATTCGCGTACTTTCCACCGCAGGGCAAGTCGTTTTTCTTCACCTATAGCAGGCCTTCGCGCCCACTCCTCCCTGAAACGGTGGAAGTGAGGAGGCGGATCAAAATGGAAGAAACTGTAGAAGTTGTTCACCTGTGCTAGAAAATACAGTTGGAGAACAGCAGATATATAAGCACGAATTTGGAAGTACATGAGAGCGAAGCCTTCTGTGCGTTCATACTCTAGCGTTTTGAGCGTACGGCAACGTTATGAGCGTAGGTCGCTGTTTTGGACGACTAAGAAAGTACAGGTATTCATCTTGTATTTCTGGCATTTGGCTCGAAACGCTGACACGTACTATGAACGGACCTCTCACAGCGAAACAAGGAAAAGCACAAGCATCGCAAGACACTCCACTCTTCCATAAATGTTCGGTCGCTACAAGAAAACGAGCACGGTTTCACGAGAGTCAGAAAAGGGAAATGTAAGGACATTGAATTCTACGGAAGAAGACAAGTTTCTGGCAAGCTAGAGCTAGTATGGCAAGGAACGTATTTATTCGAGTGTGATTTTATCTTGAATCATTTGAGTGACAGGTCAACAAAAGATGCCTTTCTGAGATTCTAGAGCAACCATTACATCACTAGACTGTTTCTTAAAAAGGACACTAGAAAATACCTGTACAGCTCGAATTTCTTGACAGGATCATGACGGTAAAGCAGTTTACCAGGAACATATTGATCAACGCGACGAAGACCTAAATGGCTACCATAACACGGAAGAACAATCACAATGAGATGTCAAAAAAATTAGGTTCGGTCCGATTTCCAGCCTGGTCCCGCCCCGGTTAAAAAACTATGGCAAATTCGTGACATATTTGAGATACTACATCAAGCTGTGAGGCGGAGGTGATGTAGTGCAAATGGGGAGCCAGCCGCGCGCCGTCCTTAAGTCAAATCCAGCACCGGCACCTGCGAAGGCCAACCAAGCCTTCTACCATCCGGAGACGGTGAAACGACAAAAGGATATACTATCCATCGCTGATCAGCCCTTTTGGGATGCGACACGATTATACTTCCATTCAGAATCGTAGTGGCTTATTGAATGCGATGTGGCCTACAATGACTTGCGGGGGCCAGCCGATGTACAAGTCAGTGTTTTATCCTCCCAGACGAATCTGGTACCAATTTACCGTCCCCGGAGGGTAGAAGGCTCAGTTGACCTGCGCGGGAGCCCACCCTTTATTTGATTACTGTACGTACGCAGTTAGACTGCCATTTGCCACTAAACCACCTTTGCCTCAAGGTGACAAAGACGACGTGAAAGTACTCTTCTTATGATCAGTAGATTATCATTCTAGGTAACTAAAAGGACACCAACTTGGATCGGGTTCAGGTCTTCCTTCGGAAGAGCATCCTCTGCTTTCATCTTCAGACGCATTCGATTCGGTCGGTAAAGAAGAACGCTTGACGATGGAGGAGTGCTTGGCAGTGCCTTGATTGCCGCCATTGCGATATCTGCTTGCCAACTCGTTCTCTGCAAAAGAATGTTGAGGATACCATCCTTTTCTCGAATTTTAAATGATATAAGCAGTTCTGAGGGAAAACGTATTTTGCAAAAATTTTCCCCAGTGGCAGGACGTGCCCTGGCTATGACCAAAGTAAGACAAAAGGTGTTCCAAGCAGAGCAGAGCTCTTAACATTTATTTTCTGCGCCTCACACCTGGCTTCGTACCTATACACACGTAACTACTTTTGGCTATTCTACAAATGGTGCTACCTTCTTAACGACTCCGCCCCAACCTCTAACCCGACTAACTTATGAGGCGCATGCTTCGCTCCATATCACTGTTATGGGACAATTACATCTGCAGACTTGTGCGTTTCCACGGCTAGTTACTTTTCAAAAATATCCAGAGTAATGAGAGATCAAAGCATGTGTGGCCTACTTGAAAGAGCGCTCATAGTCTGCACCAATCGCTTGAGCGATGACTAGTTGCTCAAGGGTTTCGAGCGCGCGATCTGATCACGAACTATGAACACACTCTTACCCGAAAGCGACAACGCTAGCTGGGAGTTGCTGGTCTGTACAACAAGAATATGTATGTAAGCAGTAGTTTTCTCACCTTTATTGTCGCCGCTTCGCTTCGAAGCATTCCCTGAAGCGCTGCGTCGTGAAGTAGGACCAGAATAACCGGATGAAGTCAGCTTCCTCTGCTGAAAAGCTATCGGCTGAAATCTGATTAATATAAGGATACAGTGTGTACTACAGTCCGACTAAATTCTACGTAATCA